AATTTCCGAACACAATTTTTTAGAACAACTATTTTACTGTATAAAAATGATATTTTCATAAATATATCTTAAAACCAGCAGGAACATAACTCAAAAGCGTAAAGGTACCGCGACTTAAGATTTTCCTGAATAATTATTACATTAGTTTATTGTTTGTCAATTTTACAACTTCGTCATATTTTACATGCACTTGCTAACATTTGGTGAAAATTTGATGAAAATCGGACTGATATTGAGCGCGCAGTAACGATTTTCCACAAAATGCCAAAAAGGGTGTCCTGTAACCTTAATACACATTCGAATCCCGCTGCAGTAAAAAAACTGTATTTTAAAACAGTGGGTTACGAACTTCCTGCCTGAAATTTGGGCGATTAAGTATCCAACATACAAGAACCACTAGGCTTTCAAATGGGGATGGCTTTCGGATAAAAAAACCCCTTCAGAATGCATTCAGGAACATAGTTGATTTACGAAATGCAAAAACATAATCTGTTGTTTGGTACTCAACGACTATACATTCTATCAAATTCAAAGGCTTTGAAACAGCAATTATTAATGTACTTCGGAAAACAGCTAAATCAGGAAGAATCGTATTTGCATGCATGCATGACTATAGAAATAAGAACCAGCTAAGAACCAATTCAGCCTGACATTAAAAAATAGTGATTTTTCATGCGCGTTGGTATTGTATCTCGACCTCGACTGCGTCGAATCTCGCTTCGCCCTAAAAGTCAATCCCTTTGAATCTCGTAAAACATTAATTTTATAATAATTCACTATATTGTCTTTCCGACTCCTGATATATCGAATACTTGGTTAGGCTGAACTTCGCTCACAACAGGAAATTAGTACATGCACGATAGTTCGTAACAAGAAATAATTCAGTTAAGTTTACTTACAAGTGGGGCAAATTTTCTACCTGTATACACCACGTGTAAACGTCCAATTTAATGGCGTCCAATTTAAATTCCAAAAGTGTCAACAAAAGCATGGCCATTCATTCATTCGAGATAAGTGAAACAAACAAGGAAATTGGGTAGACCAGACCAGTATACTTCAATCGTAATTGCTCTAACATTTAAAGTTTATAAAGGAGTGTGAATGAAATTTAAAATATTTTGTTTGAACTGGAATGTATTGAACGTTTGGAGCAAAATCTATTACCAAACTGTAGGCGCAAAATATAAGATGAAACACCCTCCGAATATTAACATCTTGTAAACTCAAGATGTGATGATAAAACCTTCTAACATCCCCTTTGTTTGAATAGATTTAATACTTTTGACACAAAAGGTTAACTGTAAACTGTCTTTTGAACATGGCAAAGTGCACTTTTTAGATTTAGAGATTCTAGATTTTTTGCATTGATGCATGCATGTGCTTCGTAAGACCACGTGCACTGGTCAGTACACACATTTCGATAATTTTGAACAGTTGGAACGTTCACTTTTCTACGGCGCAGTAAATATCTGCATGTAGCTATAGCAATTCTTCCTTTCTAAAAAATCGAATTTTACAATTTATAACTCGGAATGGTTTTCGCGCAAATATCCGTTCGCGTACGATCCGCAAGCTTAAACAAAGGTTTTCCGTTTATGAGAACGAAACCTCCGGTATATGAAATGGCACCACTACATGTAAGTACACATTGTGAATGGCGACTTCCGATTGGCCTTTCCCAATATTAGTTTGACACATTAATAATAATAGGCATGGAAACGTAGTTGCATTTATGAATGTTTTGACACAAAATCGTGATACATTTCATTCCGGCCAGATGAAGAAGAATAAAAATACTTTAGCCTGTTTACCTCACATTCGGTCAGTTCTAAACTATAATTGAATATTTGGCTGATAATTTGAATCAGTGACTTTCATATTTCCGTGCCAAATAAAAATCTTTAATGTTGGGAAACGATTAATAACCAACGACTGAGTGACACAGAAGCTAGAAATGCGCTAATGAATTAGTAAAGTACCAAATTCAACCGAATGTATACTGAATTCAAATTAAAACACTCATTGACCATATTTAGTTGTCTTTCATTTTTTCGATTTTCGCTATTTCTTTTGTAGCTTTAACAAGGTCATAGACAATCTAGAAGATGATGTTGAAGGGAAGAAATACTTTGTGGAGAAAAAACAGTCGTACATGAATGTGTGTAAGTACTACACCAACTCGACGAAGACTGAGTTCCTAACTGATACCGCATCATATATTTGTAAACCACGGCACCAATATTTTGTTTCCTTGGTGTTTGTAGTATTTACAAACATGATTGTCTAATCTAGATGATATTTCACGGGAATCGTCATACCGCACAAACTGCTGAATTGATTTAAAATAAAATATTGATTATATATATAGCACTTCATCACAATGGTTTTTAAATAAAAACATGGAAATTCAGTCGATAGGCAATGTTTCTACAGCAAGCTGTAAAACAAAGTGTTTAAGACTATAATGCATGACAGGAGAGATGCCTTGTTTGTAGTATGGAATATGTTTTGTAGAAATTTAAAAAAATACACTGAATTAATTATTCCAAAAATTTGAACTCAAAATTGTTTTGATGACACCGCACACAAGGTTCGGATTTCATTAATTTTAATGGGCGGATAAAATCGCATCATTTCCTTCTGAAATTAATTTCGACCAAGGTAATCACCGTCGTCTTACAGAATACTTCAAAAATAACAGTTTTACAAAGTATAAATATAGTACCATGTATTCTCGATGAGAGAATATATATATATATATATATATATATATATATATATATATATATATATATATATATATATATATATATATATATATTCTCGACGAGAAGAAAGTTCTTGACTACTTTTGTCTACTATGGCTCTTCATACTGAAGCTTTATTTCCCCTTAATTACGACATCTTAACAGACAGATACAACATCGAGATATCGACAATACAATACTGGGTCGAGATTGCTCTGGAGAATTCTTGTTAGAATGTTAGTGTTTGTAATCCAAGTGAGTATATATACATTTTAAGACATGATCAGAAACGACTGCTAGAAATGTAGAACAAGGTTTTCTGGTAGGATTTGAAACTACGGCCTTGCGATTCCAGTGCAGCACCTCAAGAATACTGTGTGGCATCGCGAAGTTGCACGTGAATTACGACATCAGCGTAAAATCCTTATAATACAGTTTCATTCCATCATTACATTCTTTATCAACCAAGGAATAATTTAATGGCGCTGCCCAACATTCTAAAGAAACAAGACAAAATAATTATAGAGCATAAAAAAATCGAATGAATCAGCGAAGGTTGTATGCAACGTCTTTAGATCACATTCTTGATCGGTAAATTTTGAAACATCAATATAATTTTATTGCCGATGCACTAATTGCAACTGACGAGCGTTTTCCATATATACATGTAACATAGATAAAAAATACTAAGTGCGAATATTTTTGAAATTGCACATTGTATAATTACTAGAGTGCAATTACAAACACAAGGGCAGAACTTGGAAACGAGTCAGGAAAAACAACATGGCAGCAGATAGTAGCAATGTAAATTTTTATAGTTCTGACAATTTTTTTCATATACCATCAATGGAAAATCGTATGTTAATATAACAAATAGAGTCATGGGGCAGATAGACAAGGTTTTTTTCTCAGGATTTTCTCTTGCGTCTGTTGCTAACACATGTACCCAATACTGCGGATTCAGGTAAACCGTGAAATGCGAATAGTTGTCGCGTTCGTTGTAACGGTTGCACGATGACGTTTCTAGGCAGATTTTCAGACGTTTCTAGGGCGTGGCCTCAACGTTTTGTTAAAAAGTAAACACGTTTCAACATTTCTGTCATTCTATTTTAGTTGCTTTCGTCAACATGTCTTTTGTTCAAATAAAAATAGAATTTGATTTATACTGTTCGAACAAACGTATAACGTCAATCTTTTTAAACGAAGATATAATTTTCATGAAATATGATGATTTTTAAGCCAGGATTTTGAATGACGTTCCACATTTTCGCGATCAAAAGTGGAATTACAACGTTTAAATTTTGAAAATAAACGTTGAAGCCACGCCTTAGAAACGTCTGAAAATCTGCCTAGAAACGTCATCGTGCAACTGTTTAAAGTAACGCGACAACTATTCGCATTTCGCGGTCTACCTGAATCCGCAGTAAATGTAGTTGAGACGGGGGAAGTATTATTTGAAGTCAATTTGAAGTGCCTTCTGCATGATCATTGTAACTTTCGCAAATAAAAGAAACAATAAACTAACACCTTGTATAAAATGAACAACATCATAAACTAATATTAAAACTAGTTATTTTAATTATAATCATAATATTATTTACTTTAATTTTAACAACTCCATGTAAAAATGTAAATGTACATGTGATCAACGTTCATACATTCGCCAAACAATTCGTGATTCTTCTTTGTTTCAACTTTGTCAGTGTTTGCTTTGAGCCCTTTCGTTG